GAGGTCCAGAGCGGTCGACGGGCAGGGGCAAAAGAATCCAGCGAGGTGCGAGGCGCAAGTAGCAGCAGGCGAGAAGAAAAGAAAGGAAAGCATCGAAAGAATGAAAGTGAATGAATGCAAGAAAAATACGCACAGAACCGCCGACTCCCCCACGCTCACCGACGGGCTCGCCAGTACCGTGGGACTCGAGACCGAGGCCGGCGCCGACGACGACGAGCCCGGGACCGAGCCCGGGACCGAGCTGCTCGACCCCCCGCCACCGGCGCCACTTGCGCTCACGCTCACACTACTTCCACCATTCGCGCTGCCACTTGCGCTGCCACTTGCGCCGCTGTCGCTTGCCGAGGGCGTGGGCGTGCTTAACGGGTCGGACAAGGATGGTAATGCTAGATAAGATGAAATGAAAGAAAATCATCAGTAAGGCACGGAAGACAGGAGGCGAGGGAGAGGAGGACATGAAGCGCCAACATCACTGCTTGGTGGTGCGGGGGGTGGAGACACCGGCACAGGCGTAGGGATGCTCGAGGACATCGTCGTGGAGCAAGCAGGTAGCTGATACGTGACGCCACGCAAAAAATAGGCACTCGGAACGAGGCGAGGCAGACACGCCTCGGCGATTGTCGGACAGACGGAGATTACTCACATATAGGTAATGACATTTCGGCGCTGCGTTATGTTTTGGGTGGTTAGATAGCGCAGAGATGGTCGGGGAAGGAGAGTGGTGTGTGTGCCCTTTACAAGGCGTCAGTGGAGCAGCAAAGATGGCTGGATGCAGATGTCTCAGGATCCACGTGAGATCTGCATAGGCGGGCCCGGTGACCGCGGGAGTAGCCGGTTGTGTTGAACCGTACTTGCAATTCTGAAATTGCGTCGCAGCTGCGGTAGAGTTTCTGAAATTGCACTCGAGGCCCAGGAATAATTTTGAGCCGCAATTCAAACCAACTTTAGCTTGTGAATGGCCTTTTCGACTTGAACCATTGCTCTCCAAGGCGCACTGTCGTCGACTCGTTGAATCCAAATTTCCAACCACCTCAGCTTTCGGCCAAAAGAAAAACCCTTCGCAATGACTACTCCGGACACAGGGAATCGAACCCATCCCGCCTTGGAATCCCTACTTGTCATGCATAGTTCAAGGCTGTGCACCGTGACCACACCAAGTCCGATTTATGACTGGAGGCGCCCTCGAGCGCTTTCCCTTCTCGCAGCTTCTCGCGGGCCGATTTCCGGTTTGTCACTGTTTCTAGAACCTCCGCTATATTCTTGCTATCGACCACCATGGCCCCAGATGCAAATGAATCTCAGAGCAACCCACCGATGGTGTCCGATCCCGTTTGGCAAGACTCGGAGGTATTCCGTGACGCCAAACATTACCATCCCACAGGCGATTGTATCATTCGCGTTCAGAATACTCTGTTCAAGGTACATTTTATCCGACACTCTTCATTTGCAGATAGCTGTATCCGAGCTCAACCGTAAACCAGATTCACAAATTTCATCTTGTCCATAATTCTTCGGTATTCGCTGGCATGTTTGACATCCCATCTGGCGAGCAACAAGAAGAAGGAAAGTCTGATGATTCCCCCATCGTGCTGGAGGGGGAAGAGGTCTTCGGATTTCGCTCCGTTCTCAAGTACATGTATGCTGGGTGCGTTTATTACAAAGTTCAGTGATATGTATTCTCGTTGAAACTGATTCTACAGGGGAATGGGCATGCAGATCGATGTTATCCCCTTGTCCGCCCTGCGGGAGATCATCGCAGTAGCTGAATTCGCCGACAAGTACGAAATGGCGGATTTGAAAGAATGGGCCCTGTCTTTCATTGATCGCCGCATCTTCGCCCCCCCAATGGTCAAAGCAAAGCAGCCACTGATGGATCTCCCGGAGCAAGATCTTGCGGCGCTCCATGAACTGTACCGTCGGCTCGATGGCGACGCTGCCGATGGGCACCGAAATCTTATTATGGGGACCTGGTGTATCCACGTCGCAAAAAACGAACGTCCAATAGCTGGCGCCCTTCACGCAGCAGAGGCTAGCGGGCAGTACAACTACCTAGCGGAGCTCTACTGTGTCCAACTCCGACGCATGAAAGCGCACGCCCGGGTCCTTACTCCAACCCCATTCCCGAGCGACGATATTCCGCCAGTTCATTTGCAGCGCATTTATGCTGGGCACTGCTCCCTCTCTTTGGCCTGGGAACGCCTTCGTGAAGTAGGAGTCCCTTTTCCTTATCAGCCAGGTACATGTCCTTCAGAGCGCCACCATACCAAATTTTGTTATTCCCGCCTCGGAAAGTTGTGGACAGAGGCCATATCTGCGTCCGAAGGAATACAGCCCGACGTTACCCGAATGCAGCACCGATTGAACCTGTTCGTTCGCCATTTACGTAAGCACACCGAGCTCGAGGATGGCAGAAAGTGGGAATGTTTTGCTCGCTACTCTGGGCCCAACGGAGCCCTAGCCAAGCTGGCGGATGACTTTATTCTTCCTGCTCACTTTTTCCCGGGGTTGGAATGGTCAATTACTCGCTAATATGTGTAACTCGAGCCTTTTTTCTATTCCCAAGGAAAATGTGCTCTACATTATTGAAAGTATGTTTAACATTGTTCGGCATATCCTGTACTCGGGTTGCATATTATGTTCCACCACCGATTACCATGTTTATTATATGGTGTCTCCCTTCCAGGATTGGACATGTACTTTACAACATTGGTAGTATATTTGGTAGATGTTCCCTCAAGCTTTCTTTCTTTCAAGGTCTCCATTGATTCGTTGAAGCACTAAAGGCCAAGGTGAGATATATGGCACATTATTGTTCTGGTGGGATTTTTGCACTACGATCGGCAACTGTAGTGGGCCACCTCAGAATTTATGGCTCTGGCCAGGATTCACCCGGGACCCGGGACTTATGATGCCCTTGTGGCTGTCATGTTGAAGTAACATGTATTAAGAGTTCTTTGAACACTGCTGGCCGAATGTACTTGACATTTTTGATGTGTCTGGATTTTTTCCTGCTGGGATGCCTGGGGGGGGGGGGGGGGGGGGGTAATAGAATGCTGGGTGGTAGGCCAGCTCACTGGACAGATCACTCACTGCATTTTGGCGGTTTCTCAAACCAAGGCTGCACCGAGGTTCCTCAGCAGACCTGGACACACCTTGGCCTCAGCAGATCTTTGCTGAGATTCACTCAAGATCTACCTGGTATTGAAGGCTGTTACAGCGCAGCTCTTAAGACTTAGCCATGCAGTGATGGGGGTGGCCATCAGTTTTCGCGGTCTCCAAACCAATCTCCGTGACAAAATATAAATAGACTGGCATGAGAATAGGGGAATTCACGGTAGGGCCTATTTTCCTGTCTGGGATGATTATTTTCACAAACAAAAGATATTCCACAAACGAGATTTAATCTTGTTTGTGGAATAAACCACTTGTTTGTAAATATATTCGTGTGAATCGTGCCTGTTTTGCCGAAAACAATAATAATATATTCAGTGGGACACAAACGGGGTGATCACACATTTATTCCACAAACAAAGACTTTATTTGTCCAATCACTTCATTCTTTTTATTCACAAACGGCAAGATAATGCCTACCGTGAATTCTCCTAATAGCTGATCTTAGATCAAGTTGTGTGCATAATACTAATACCACTCAAAATTTAATGGAGATTAAATGGTTAATAGTGCCTAGTACAGGGACTAGCAGGGACTAGCTAGAGAATAAGAGATTGAGGAAGACTGAGCTGCCTGCAACAGCTGAGGTTCTGTAACCGTCGTGTAACAAAGCAGGCCACAACTCCGCCATGCCTAGCAACCCCCGTTAGCCGACTCTATGTATATCCAACACTTCAAATACACCCCGGTTATGTTGAATCGCACTTGCAATTGCAATCCATCTGAATGGCCTTTTCAACTTGAACCACTGCTCTCCGAGGCGCACTCACGTTGAATAAAAATTTCTAACCCCCTCAGCTTTCGGCCAAAAGAAAACCACTTGGAAATGATTAATCCGGACACAGGGAATCGAACCCATCCCGTCTCGGAATCTCCGCTCGTCAGTGAATAAAGTTCAAGGCTGTGCACCATACACCAAGTCAGATTTATGACTGGAGGCGTGCCATCCCATTAACCAGCATTTTTGCTATTCAAATTCTGAGGTCGGGGCGGCGAAGATGGCCAGTGATATCAATCATGTTTTGATCGGCGGTTGAACATTCTTCGACCCCGATTAAAGCAGCTTCCTTTGACCTCAACCAGGCAAGACATGTAATTATTTATCCCGGACCGGCACAGGACCAAGGTTTTTTATGTAAACAAAAACAACAAAGTGAACAATAGAATCGCCAATCGGACACAGGGAATCGAACCCCATCCTGCCTTGGAATCGCACTTCTCGCTGAGATCCTATAGTTCAAGGCCGTGCGCCATACACCAGATCTGATTCATTACTGGAAGTGACCTTTCCAATTAACAAGCATTTTCTTGGCCATTCAAATTCTGAGGTGGGTAGGGTTTAACATGTCAAAGACGGGGCTGACCGTGTTTTTAATTGGCGATTCGACATTCTTCGACCCCATCTGAATCAACCTCCGTTAGATTCCAAGACCTCAACCACGGCAAGGCGGGACATGTACTTATTCTGGACTGGTGTCGGAGCAATAAGCTTAAGGTCATTGGAAAGAAAAAAACCACCAAATCAATCAGACACAGGGAATCGAACCCCGTCCTGCCCCAAAATTGGATCTCTATCAAGAATCTGGAGGGGCAATGCACCATACACCATTTCCGATGCATTATCGATCAGATGAGACGCAGCATGTGAGGTGCCGGAGGCTGTTGAACTGAACCACACCATGAAATCAAACCAAATTGAAGTCCGACAAACACGATAGAGACAAGATGCACATCAAAGGCCCTCAGTGTCCGATAGCCGCAAAATTCGATTCAAGTCAAGACCCCCTCAGCTCTTCCGCCTCCTTTCGCCAAAAACAACGGGAGAATAATTCGGACACAGGGAATCGAACCCCGTCCAGCCCTAGAAATTTAGAGTGGCCACTGGCTAATATTGAGGGCGGTGCACCATACACCATGTCCGATTCATTGCTCTTATGCAGTGGATGTCCTTATGAGTCCTTTTCTATGGAACACTCCTAGGCGTCAGAGCCTGTTAAACTGAAATGAAACCAAGTTGTTAGAAGTTCAACAAATACAACAGAGACAAGATACACATCAAAGTCCCTGTCCGATAACAGCAAAAGTCAAGACCAACAACGTAAACGAACTGGTACCCCAAGTCTTCCAAATCCAAAAATCTGCGTGACTGGGTCATTTGGACACAGGGAATTGAACCCTGTCCAGCCCTAGAAATATATCCGCTGCTCATAATATTTCAGGGCAGTGCACCATACATACACCATGTCCGACTCATTATCCTTATGGAGTGGATGTTCTTATGGGAGGATTCCAGGTTTGAACAGAGTTTGAACCAAACCCTGCCAGTGTCCATACCCCAAGAACGGGTGGAAAGGCATATGCATCTGATCAATCACCTACTTGGACACGGGGAATCGAGCTCTCGAATTCCTTGCAAGCACTTGAGAGCTGTGCACCAAGAGATGATCCCACCTAGTTTTAGTCGCTTTTAGACAGACAATACAAACATTAAACCTCGTGCCTTGGTTGTTTGTAAACCAGCTTCAGTTTGGGATTCAATCGAATCAACCAATTCAACGGAATGTTCATTGAATTCAAGCGGTGGACACCTCAACAGCCCGAGTTTCCGAACACAATATATCGCCACTTGACCGAGTAAGTACGGAGCATTGAAAATTCATCATATTGTTGACAGTTCAACATAACATACCACTCAACGACAGCTCTACTACATATATGCGGCACATATCTCTTCCTCATAATCTTTGCAAACAGCATGGCGCCTTGGCTGGGACTTGCTTGTCAAAGCAAAAGGTTTTCGGGGGTCTGCAAGCAAGACCATCTGTCCATGCCATCACAAAACTCATTAACATTCAACATGACACGCCCGAAAAAAAAACCGACCTTTCTAGGAATGTGAAAGTGACTGGATGAAGTCTTATTTGCAGCGTCAACAGATGCCCTGCATTGATTCATTCTCAGCTCCCAAGGGTTCCTAACAAATGAGAATTCTCACCAAAGGGCATCACAAACTTCGGATCTCTTGTCGCCATCGGACAGCTGGGCCTGAAATTGCGGTTTTAGTTGAATGAGCACTCCAGGATACGGTCTGTTGATGCCGAACACCACTGCGGCATCGACAAGGTCGTTTCTGTTAATCTGGGCTTCTACAAGGAGCCGATCACAAAATGAGGGAAATGCCAAACTAAGAACAAACCGATGGGGACAGGATTCATCTGTTCACATTATTAAAAAAAGCCAACGAAATCACAGATGCACGCACCTTGGCCGCAGTGGAGAAAGCAATCAGATCGTCCTTGCGCCCATACACTCGATGCAGCTCCGGGTTGTCCGGATGCTGCTCCAGCAGATCGCTGAGACAGCACCCCGGGCGCCCGTCGATCACCACGTTCGTGTAAGACGTAGCATACGACGGGCCGGTGAGGTATGTGTGCGTGTACAAACCCGAGCCATCGTCTTCGAGCGTCCGCACTACGTCCAAGTTCTTCCTTAGTGTGAAGTACTCCCAGTCCTTTCCGTGACAATTAAAGAACGGCATTAACAGCCCAGTTTCCATGCTACGAAGTATCCAGTGAGTAATAAACATTGTGAAGGTGGGTTGCTCTTACGCGCCGTATGAGGAGCACAGAACAACGCCGCTGGCCACGAGGCTGTCACCGACGCACTTGTTCATTGTTGCGCCTATATACGAGACTGCTTTGGCTGCCTGCATCGCTTTCAATCCAGCTGGATCTCCGCTCCAGCTCTATTCATTTTTGAGTGAAATGCACACTGGAAATCTTGGAAACACATACTTCGATGGCAGCGGGCGTGGACATAATAAGATCGGGGTGTGTAGCAAGGATTCCGGCGCTTTACATGAATTCAGTCCGGTCCGTCCAGCCGTGAGCAACTGCGAGCTTACAGAGCGTTTTTGGGAGTTGGTCTGCAATATTGAGATTCAGAATCGCAGCGAGATTGGGTATGTACCTACTTACGGAATCTGTGGAGTGCTGGGGCGGAGCACCGCCATGATGAGGCCTGACGAAAAGGGCCAAGTGCTCATAAATATTCCCAATCCATGGCTAGGAAAAAGGTCAAGCTCATAAATGGACACACAACGATGATCAACTTACAAGTTCGGTAGAACTTGAGAGCCCAAAATCTGACCGCAATGGTCCTCAGACCCGGTCCACGGAATGGAAGCATACTGCAAAACCATCTTGTGCGAAAGATCTAGTTTCACCGATCATTCAGATGACGGACGTGAGAGGAGACGGTGCGGTACAATGATAGTTCACTCACAAACCGGCTTCGAATATATCGAGGTTGAACCTGAAGAATTCTACTTAGGCCAGGACTCAGAGATACACAGAGAGGTAGGTTTGTTACCTGAGGTATGCAAGATCATCCCTGGGCTGTCGAGATTCATCGTCGTTGGGAGAGTGGGCGATGGCCTAGACTCGGATAACTCCTTTGGACTGTCGGGCAGCACTTCGAACCCCAGGGCGTCGAAGACAGGCAACTGCTTGCCCCAAATTTCGAACGCCTCTGCGAGGATTTCTTTCCGGTCTGCGGACACATACACCACGGCTGCGCCAGTCTTCTCGAGGAGATCCGCCACGCCAGCGGCCGCGTTTCGAGGTGAAATACAGAATGGTACCAGGCCGGCGCGCATGATTGCAGCGACCATCATACCTGTACGAAAATATCAATATCTGCAGTATAAAATATGTCAGCCACCAGTACAGCACGAAATGCTATCTGAGAAACATTGCTTCAGCATGGGGATTTATATTTGAAAGGCGTCGTTTACGGACCTGTTGCGGCGAATATGCCGACTACGGTGGCCTGCCCGTCCGTGACTGGTTTGTGTGGCACAGTCTCGCGCAGAATGCGGCGGCAGGCGATGTACACAGTTTGGATGTATTGCACGAAAGAGACGGAGATGGTCTCGCCGTCGGGAGCATCGTAAATGTACGCCGTGTGGTGTGGGCTCAGCTCAAATTGGCGGTCGAGTAGCTGAGGCATCGTCAGCGAGCCATCGAGCGGCGCAGCAGTGAAAGTCGGGCTGTCTATGCCTTGAGCGTGCATATTTGGGTTCAGGGTATTAGTTGGAAACGCCTGGGGAAGAATCAAAGAGCTTTATAGTGCCACGCCAGTCATTTCTAGATGCCGGCATTACCTGTCGGGGAATAAGCAATGGCCCAGGGTTATACTTATAGCTCTAAGTACGTGTGACTCAGGTACTAGGACCGTAATGGAGGTATTTTAAACGAGGTGGCGACCTAGTACCCAAGCTCCGCACTGGGCAGACACAGATTTGCGTCAATTTCACCGCGCGAGCTTACTTGTGGAGAATCGAAGCTCGTGCGTGGTGTAAACATGACGGAAGGACCTATAAAAATATTGGATTAATAGAAGAAATTGAATAGTGAGCTGTCTCTTGAGGCAGACGCACGCACGAATAGGAGCCGAGAAGGAAGGCGATACGACGTTGTGGTGGGGCGACAACAACCACTCCGGCCCAAGCTCCAATGGAAAACACGGTACATTCTCTTGCCCGATGTCCTTTCCCATAGCACCCACTCAGTATACTTACAAGTTACCCAGTTCCGACTGACAAACAAAAGTGGCCGATCGGAAGGTGGAGTCTAGCACAGGCGCAATAGTGGGACGAACCAGGGCCTGCCGATCGAGAAATGGGTCCGGGCGCGAGGACCAAGGTGGTTTACGACGAAGTGCCATGCTGACAAACCTCAATCCCTTATAGTAATCGACTTACCATTTTTGGTGGCAGGACCCCTGACAATCCTTTTGGAGGCTAGGGCCCGAAATTCCGGAAATCCTCGATTTTTGTCCGGACAAATTTCCTCGAGATCGTGTTGTTTTTGTCCGGACAGGACATAGCCCAGGCTCCAAAAAGGGTAATTTTCCGCTCTCACGACCCAAAAAATGCCTAAATTTCCTCGTACTTATATCCTTTCTACTCTTCTATGCAGAGTATACATGAGTTGAACTTGAATCTGAGCTGAAGAAATCATTTCCAGCTGAATTTGGCGAAAACTTTCGCCTGGACATCGACCCAAACATCGACAAGACCCAAGTTTTTTGTCCGGACCAGGACCTAGGTCGTCCGGCCTCAAACCCCAGTTTTTGTCCGGTCAGAACCTAGGCTTTTGAGCCAAAATATTAAATTTTTGTCCGGCGCGGGCCCTAGGTATTGTCAGGGGTCCTCTGGTGGCACGATTTTTTTCATTCAACTGGATTTACTCTCGCGTGCCTCTAAGATCTAACATGGATATAGAATTCTAAGTTTGGACATATACCATCGCATTCCAAACCGCCGTTACCAAGTTATACTGACTACATCGAGTGTCATAAGTTTTTTCAATAAACGTCAGCGCTCTGTAAATCCTTCGCCCTGCCAATGTGCATGTACAGTTACACCCAACTATGCATTACAAACTTGAGACTCGCCAGCCTGCGAGACGCCCTCCTCCTGGGACCGCGGTGGATCCGGAAGGAGCAAAATCAGCGCGACGACGAGGTAGAATGCAGACTCCCAGAACACATATTCGCCCGGGCCGTACAACGAGTACTACATGTTCGCGCGTCAGCACCAGCAAGTAACTCATGAACAAAAAATCAAGAAAAGAGGAAGGGAGGCACGCACAGACATGTACAGCGCCAGCTCGCCCCAGATCGCCAACGCCCCAAACAGTGACCCGATTTCGGCCCTGCGGCCGAGGGCGACGAAGTACGCCGCGCCAAGCGCGTAGAGCGCGGGGGTGGCCGCTACGGAGAGCGGATACAGCGGCGCGAAGATTGGGTAGAGCACCGTCGCGGTATTTGGGATGCAGAAGACGAGCACGGCTATGCAGGAGAGGGCCCCGACGAGGATGGAGTTGTGCGATAGGGTAGCGGCAAGATGGAGCCCCGC